ATATATATTCATACAAAATATATACTGTAATATATAATCTATACACTAAAAAATACGACAATTTAATTATTTTTTATACTATCGACATTCTTTCTCATATTTAATATAAAAAAAATAATTTAAACTAAATATACAAAATTAATACACCATTAAAATAAATTTAAATTATTAATTGATATTTGAAATTATTAATTTATTTAAATTATCATTAGTAAAAGAATTAAATATATATAACATTTTTATAAATAAATATATGATTTGTAGTAGTATGCTTAAATATAATATTATATTTTATAAAATCAATAAAATATAATTTAAATGTAAATATATATTTATATACATTTAATATTAAAAAGGAAAAAAATATAATTTTTTTTGGGAGGATATAATAGTAAAATGAAAAACACAATGACATGAAATTTTAAAATAACACATGGGGGGTACACTGTTACTGAAAAATTCTTCATTTGCAGGATTTTTAAAATCTCATTCACTTAATTATCAATTTTATAACCTGAATTCATTAGGATTTTAAAATCCAAATCCCATAAAATATCAATTTTATAACCTGAATTCATTAGGATTTTAAAATCCAAATCCCATAAAATCCCACCAAATCTATGAACCAATCAGCCTCAGCCTTTAATGCACATAAATATATAAATAACTGCCTTTCTACAGCAAATTTATTCTCTATTTCATTTTATTTTTAAATTAAAGTTTGTCCTGAACCTATGTAGCATCTCTATCAAAAAAGTAAATTCCGTGGGCACAATCCAAATATAATTTTAAAATAATTTAAATAAAATCCAAAAAAATGGATAAAGAAGCATATATTAACTGAAAAGGTGTCATAGCATTCTTTATCATTCTTTTGGAGGGTAATATATATAATATCAAAACTTTATGGTAGTTTGAATGGAGAGTATGAAATTTAAAATTACTAATTCTTTGTAATTAAAATAAAATTTTAATAATGTAAATAATTATTTTAAAGTTATAACTAAAACTATAATAATAATATAGAGTTTGTTCATTTAACAATTAGTTCAATAACACAATTAATAATAATAAAATATACAGTAAAATATATTTATAACATTGATTTTTTTTTTCCCCTTAATATATTAAGAGGGTTTGTTTGATTGGTTGGGATTTGAAATTATTTTGAAAATAAAGGGCTAAATTTGAGGTTTTATTTAAATAAATAGTATTAAAACATGATATTTTATATATATATATATATAATGTATCTTTATTAAAAGTTTTGCATAATTTTAATTTGAAATACTAAAAAAATAAATTCAGATATCCAAATAATCGAACATATTTGAGTTTGTTCATCCAATATTTTTTGTGGCAAGATTTCCTATAAATATTATAAATAAAAAAATACAATATATATTCGTATTAACATAATATATATTTTATTCATTCACAAAAAATTAATAATTTAACACAAATATTAATTTTTATACCTAATATGAAAAAAATAAAATAATTCATTCAAATACACTAAGAGCATCCGCTACAGTGATTTCTTTCTTACCTTTATCATTGCGTTTTCAGCTTTTTACCGTAACAGAACTCATTATCCTTAATAAGAAATACAATTATCAAAATTTATTTCAAAATTTTAAATTATGAATTGTCTATAAATATATTTAAAATTCATTAATCAATTTTCAGGTCTTTATCTATCATAGTTTAAATTTATTTGTTGTTTTCTACATTTTCCTATTCAATTCAACAAAATAACTAATGAAAATAATGATCCTTTCGATCATTTTTTTAAAATCAAAATATTGGAAATGAAAATTCTTATGCAATAGATCAAATCAAACTTCTTTTGATAACCCAAAATTTCAAATATCATTCTTAAGTTATATTATTAATATATTTATTTTATATGTTTATCTTATACTACGATTCTTTTGATGTTATTTTTAATTAATATATATGTTGATTTATTTTAAATAATTTCAATTATAAAAATTTATGTAAATTAATATTTAAAAGTTAAAATATAACATTATATAAAATATTATTAGTCAATAAAAATATATAGAAATGTGAATAAATAAATAAATTATTTATATATTATTACATAATAAAAATATATAAAAATGAATAAATTATTGTAGAAATAGTGAATGTACTTGGTTAAAGGTGATTTACTATAATGAGTGATAAATTAAATAATTTGAATGTTAAGATTAATATAATCTAAATGGGAGAGATAAAAAAAAATAATGGAACAAAGTTAATGACTATAACGGATGTTGATGTTGGAAGTGAACAAACACTTTATAACTCCTGAATTTTTTTTTAATTTAAAATTTTAATCCTTCAATTCATTGGTAAACTTTTCACTTTTGCAAGATTAAAGTAAATTAGTACTAAATTTCAGTATAATATTTTATAGATACTTAATGTAATAAAGTAAAATTTTTATTATGCCCTTTACATTAAAGTAAAAATATGTGAAAAATTTAATATATAAGTATTTTAATAATTAGTTAATATTTGTTTTTATTTTAAAAAAATAAAATTTTTTGACTTCAACAAAATAAAATGACAAATAAAAAATGTATTGGAGAACTAAAAAGAGTATTCTCTCCATCCCGATAAAATAGTGTCTTTTGTTTGTACACGAGAATTTATGTAGTATATATTAGCTATTTAGATAGAGAGATTAGTTATTTAATAATTAAAATAAATTTAAAATATATGTTTAAATATTTTTAATATTATATCTCAATAAAATATATACAATATATATCATTTTGTAGATAATAAAATTTTATATAATACAAATAAATAATACCATAAATTAGTTTTATAAAGAATATATGGAGTTTTAAAGGTAAATAAAAAATACTCCATCCGTCCCACCGGAATTGAACAATTTGATTAGGGACACGGTATTTAAAGTAAAGATGTTTAATTAGTTAATAATAAGGGTAAATTATATAACTCATCATTGTGTTTTATTAAAAATGGACAAAATACCCTATATTTTATTTATTGCGTGAAACCCCATTGTGTTAATGGAAAGTTTGCATGAAACACCCTCCTTGTCCAAAACTGATGCTTGGATCGAAATAAAGACCTAAATTACGTAAGTTTTATACAAATAAAAAACGTAAAATATCTTAAATAATTTTTTTGAATAAAATAAATAAATAAATAATTGATCAATCATTTATTTTTATAATTTTTATAAAAAATCAGACAACAATTTGTCTCAAAAAACTATAAAATGAAGGATTAGTAAATTATTTATTTCTTTATTTCATGCAAAAAAATTATTTAAGATATTTTACACTTTTTATTTGTATAAAACTTGCATAATTTAGGTATTTATTTAGAACTAAATATCAGTTTTGGACAAGAAGAATGTTTCGTGCAAACTTTACATAAACACAAGGGGGTTTTACGCAATAAATAAAATACAGGATATTTTGTGTATTTTTACTAAAACACAAGGGGGTGTTATATAATTTACCCATGAGTTATGATATTATTATATTATTTTTTTTATGTAATTAATAATATTTATAATATCAAAGTAAATTTAATATATATAATTAAAAAAATTAAATATATATTTAAATATTTAAAAATTATATAGCAATTAAAAAATATATGCAATACGAATATAATTTAGTAGAGAATAAAATTTTCTATAATACAAGTAAATAAGAAAATATTTTTGTTTATTTATAATTAACATAAATTAATTTTATAAAAGATGTGTATTTCTAAATATAGATAAAAATATTTGTTTTTTGAGGAATCATATAGAAATAAAGGGGTTTTGAGTGAGTCCTAAGTCATTTATGATGTTATATGTTATGTAGTTAATTATGTTGATTTATATTTGTTAAATATGTTTTGATTTAATAATTTTTACCAAAAATAAAAATGTGTCAATTGTTACTGGACAAAAAAAATGAAAATAGTGTTAGCGAAACGGAGGAAGTATTTGTTAATTGAAGAGAAAAATAAAAATAAAGGGGTTTTGAGTGGATTATATACGTGTCCCATTTTGCTATTTTTTTCTGTTCCAAAATAATAGTCCAATTTTCATTCTTATAATAAATTCCTCATATTTTTACAAAATTATTCCTATTTTTTCACAATAATTATATAAACTATAAATATTTTAGCCTTTTAGAAGCATTTCTATGCCCACTCTATTAATATAATATTAATATTTCAACATAAAGTGTGCTTATTTGAGAATTTGATTTACAAATACTAAAAATTTTAAATTAGAAATATTGTCAATAGATATTGACACAAATATAAAATTGATTTTTATTATAATATAGAAAATAAAAATAATAATTTAATTTAATATATATTTTTTTAAAAATTAGTAAATACTCTCTTTGTCTCCCGCTAATTTGTTCCATTTAAATTAGACATTAAATTTTAGGTATTGTATAATTAGTGAGTAATTAAAAAATATATTAATAAAAATAATTATAATTTAATAAAAATAATTTTAAATTAAAATGATTAAATAAATTAATTAAAATAAAAAAAATTATAAATTATAAATTTTAAACCATAATTAAAATGTATAAATGTATTTCAAAAAACTGTAAAAACAAATTATTTGGTGCTAACGACGGGATGGAGGTAACAGTAGAAATCCCTCTGAATCTGCCAAACAAAAGTATAAATGCAAATGCAAAGATGAAGATGGATGCTTTCTTCTTCTTCCGGTGCAGAAATTCTAACTTAAACCCCACCCCACCCCACCCCACCCCACCGAGTGACTCTTTTTCAATAGTTTATTGAAGAAATTAGTAGCATTAATCTTTTCTTTCCTTTTTCAAACAAAGCTCTGAGTCTGACAGACCGACCGACTCATCAGTGAGTTGCTGTACAGACGCAGACATTCATGGATGTGACCATGGCGCCTTCTGCTGCTGACCGCTGACACCCTGGCCTGCCTGTGTGTATGTATTCTATTTCAATGTGTTGATGTTTGGATACGGACCACACCCACACCACACACATCGCCCTTCTCTTGCCGAATTTTCTATTCTCTCTCTCTCTCTATTTCGTCTTCACTGCAACCAAACCAAAGCAATGCCTTCCATTTCAATTATGAAATGGCCATGGATGATACTGACTGATTGACTGACTGACTGTCTGACAGGAGGGAAGGCATTGCATTGGCACATATATATATCGCCGGGCAAGTATCATCATTGGATTGGAAGGAAACCTCCCTCCCTCCCAAATTCTCTGACCCTAATTCTTCTCCTTTGTAGTTTTCCGCCTGCCATGCCCACGACGATCCCCTTTTCATCCCATTGTTGAGAGAGAAGGGAATTGTTTATTATTGTTAGGGTTCCCAATGGGGACGATCGTGGAGGAGCCCAATGCCGAGAGGATTTACGTGTCGGTTAGGCTGAGGCCCATGAACTCAAAGGAAATCCTCCGGAACGACGTTGTCGACTGGGAATGCATCAACGACGACACCATTGTTTACAGAAACGCAGGGCTTTCTTCTGCTTCGGACAGGTCTCTGTATCCCTCCGCCTACACATTCGGTGAGAATTTCTCAATTCATTAATTCCGTCTTCCATCCATGGCGCGCTGTGCTGTATTGATGATAGGTGAAACTTAGTTAGATGTAAGAGCACAACACGGTTCTCTTGAGCTTTATTTTAGCAACTACTTGTAGATCTGATCTGAATCTGATCTAGTCTAGTGTTTGAATCATCCTGCTTCCACTGCTACTGCTATATCGACAGCTGAACTAATATATTTTTGAAAGGAATGTAGATCGGGTGTTCCGGACCGATTGCACGACGAGGGAGGTGTACGAGAAGGGAGCCAAAGAAGTTGCCATTTCAGTTGTGGATGGACTGAATGGTATGGTGACGTCACTACTACTCTGCTACTGTGCTTGCTTTCCATTTTCACCACTGTTGTTTCCTTTGATGTGCTTTCTATTCTATACTCACTGATTCTTTGTTTGTTATATATATATATATATATATATCTATATATGTATATGGTATGCAGCAAGTGTTTTTGCATACGGCCAAACCAGCAGCGGGAAGACATACACAATGAGTGGCATTACTGAGTTTGCTATAGCCGACATATACGACTACATACACAAAGTAAGCTAAGCTAAGTTAAGCTAAAACTGTATTATGCTTGTGTATATAAGTATGGCATTATAACAACACAAGGAATTTCAGCATCCGGACAGGGAATTTGTCCTCAAGTTTTCTGCTATGGAGATTTACAATGAATCTGTTAGAGATCTTCTCAGTGCAGATTTCACTCCTCTGAGACTTTTAGATGATCCGGAGGTGAATCTCATGGTCTTTTTGTCCAAGCATTCTGTTTGGGGGCTTTTATTTTGCTCTTTAATGGATTGATTGGTTTGTTTGTTGTTTTGGTAGAGAGGGACCATAGTCGAAAAGCTCACAGAGGAAGTTTTGACGGACTGGAATCATGTGACTCAGCTCCTTTCAGTATGTGATGGTAGGTCAATTTCACCATCCAAGTGATGCAAAATTACTTCCACACGAAAAATCTTTCTTGTTTCTGTCTTAGAATCTTTAGAATTGTTAGTTAAGATTACTGAAAATTAACAGTTAAAAAGGCTCTTTTAATGTAATCTTAACATTCCTTTGCGTTGTCTTGCAATTAAAACTGAACCACACACTTGTCTTGTCGTGGAGCTAAAATTGTGATTTTGTTGGACATTTCTTGTCAAACGTAAATAAGGCTTCGGATAAGATTTAATGCTTGATAACTGTAATTAAGGTATGACTAGGGATTAATTTGCTGGATTTCTTGGAATATCTGTAATGCTGCAATTCCCTGTTTTGCGTGTCATTGCAGCTCAAAGACAGATAGGAGAGACTGCCCTCAATGAAATGAGCTCCCGATCGCACCAGATCATTAGATTGGTGCAGCTACTTATTTCTTTTTCAACTATTTACTGTCAATGGTTTTCAATGCCTTTAACAATCGACGTTATTTTGCAGACGATCGATAGTTCTTCTCGTCAGTTGCTAGGCAGGGACAGTTCAAGCACGCTTTCTGCCACCGTGGTATAGAATATCTACCAAAAACATTAGTACAATATCTTTCATTTATATTTTCTTAATGAAATCAGTTTCTTATTAAATTGTAGAATTTTGTTGATCTGGCTGGAAGCGAACGAGCATCCCAATCATTATCGGCGGGTACAAGGCTAAAAGAAGGCTGCCACATAAATCGCAGTTTGCTGACCCTTGGAACTGTTATTCGCAAGCTGAGGTACATATTGATGATATGTATTTATGTTGGAGCAAGTTTGTAGTTTGATTCTATAAATGAGTGTTAGCTTTTGTCTTATGAAATTATGTTTTACTACCACCATAAAACAATGCAGTAATAGTTCGAATATTAGCAATTTTCTATGCTAATCTTTTCTTTTTTTTCTACATAAAGTTTCCATATTGTTGTTGATAATGAAATAATCATTTTCTTCTAAAACCATATTATTAGTTTTAGTCTTGTAACTTTTGCCTCCATCGAGATTGACTGAAAAATATTGTGTAATACAATGGTTTATGCTTGTGTCATGAGGGTGTAAAATAGATATCAATACTGATTTCGGGATTAAAATTGCATTCCTATTAACCTTTGTCCTTTGCAAGATCATTGGCTTTAAAAGTGGTTTGCCTGTCTTAAAACTCTACACAGCAAGGGTCGAAATGGACACATTCCATACAGAGACTCTAAACTGACTCGAATTTTACAAACATCATTGGGAGGAAATGCAAGGACGGCCATCATCTGCACAATGAGCCCTGCTCACAGTCATGTTGAGCAATCAAGGAACACTCTTCTGTTTGCTAGCTGTGCGAAGGAGGTGGCCACTAATGCCCATGTGAATGTAGTCATGTCTGACAAAGCATTGGTTAAGTATTTGCAGAGAGAGTTGGCTCGACTGGAGAGTGAGCTGAGAAGTCCTCAATCTACTTCCACACCATCAAACTATCAGGCAATATTGAGAGAGAAAGATCTTCGAATTGCAAAGGTAATGAATTTACATATAAAAGAGGTATATATTTCTATGTTCATGCTACAAAAATGTTGAAAGTCTGACCTCCCAGTTGCAGAATTTATGCTGACAAATAGCTTAAACTCCGTTAGATTGATAATATAAACTTGAAGCTGAAACCAAATCTCTTATCTTTCTTGTAGCTCGAGGAAGAGATTAATGATCTAATTCTGAAAAAAGATATTGCTCAGTCACAAGTACGTGATTTGTTGCAAATGCTCAGAGATAATGCAAATACAGCGACAGAGGTAATCCTTCGTTAGAGTGAACAATGATCTTCTCTTGATATGTCGCTTTGCAGTATGTCCAACTTTTTCATGATTTTTCTGGTAGGTGAGGTCTCCGCACTATCCTCATTTGCGAGTGCAAAGATCACCAGATATTGAAATCCAAGAACAGGAGTCATCTTTTCTGGCAGATCCTTACTGTTCAGATGGACACAGTCGAACAAGTTCGCAGGATCATATTGTGAGAGTTCCATATTTTGATGGGAACTATCCACATGGTGACACATCTCCAAGGATCTTGATAAACAACTCGAACTCCAGTGAATGTTATTCATACAATGGCTGGGAGGAGATGGACAAGCAAAGCAACAGGAGTTCGGAGGATCTGTGCAGAGAAGTTCGTTGCATTGAGACTGAGGAATTGAGTAGTGTAGTGGCTGAACAATCCAAGTTTTCATCTCATGAGAATACTGGATTTGCAGAAGTATCACCAATGACTCCTTTGCATAATAATCGACATCATCAACCTTTTCCAATGAGGGATTCTGCTGCCGAGACACAGGATAGTATTGCCTCCGTGACTATGTCCTTAAAGGAAAGCCAACAAATGACTCCACTATCATTTTCAGTAGATAAGGAAGAGAAAGAATTAAGCTCCATTCATATTCCTGATATATCTCCCCTAGAAAACGACTTGATGAATAGAAGATTGAAATTGACTAGAAGTAGAAGCTGCAAGGCAAGCATTGCCAACTCATCGTCTCCTTGGTTTGACACGGTAAATTTGCTTGAGAAGACACCATGTCTTGAATCAGAGGGAATGTCTCTCAGGTTTGATAGGAAACAATTGCCTTTAACATTTGATCGAAAGAGTTTATCAGGAAAGGAGTTTCACCCTTCTCCAGGAAATGCTCATGATATCAGCATTGACACTTCAATTCCAGAATTCACCAATGACACTAGAGAGAAGTTCGAACTTCCAACTGAACCTTCATTCATCGAGAGTCCAGTGAGTGTGTTTTTTTTCTCATTCTCTGATTATATTTTGTTACTTTTAGAGTGATGGTTGATCTGTTTTGTTTTGTAGTCAAAGGACATTGAACTGAAGAAGAATGTCAAAGACATTGGATTAGACCCGATTGAGGATGAATCCGAAAGTCATTCAAGCTGGACTGTTGAGTTTAAAAGACTTCAACGAGAAATCATCGAACTTTGGCATGCTTGCAATGCCTCGATGGTGCATAGAACCTACTTCTTCATGCTTTTCCAAGGCGATCCTTCAGATGCAATATATCTAGAGGTGGAGTTGAGGCGGATGAGATTCTTGAAAGATAAATTCTCTCGGGGAGATAAGACCATAGTGAGCGGACGATGTGTAACACTAGAGTCGAGGTAATATCCATGCCATGTTCTTTCCAAGCACCATCTTGATTTTTATTTATTTGTATGTTTATGGATTCATTTCATATTTGGTGTTGTGATGCCCATTGCAAACTTGAACAGTGGGAGGTCTCTCGTAGAGGAGAGGCGAATGCTTAGCAGACGGATGTCGAAGAAGCTGTCTGAGCAAGAACGGGAGAGGCTGTTCCTGAAGTGGGGAATAGGTCTCAACAGCAAATACAGAAGGATGCAGTTAGCTCATCGGCTGTGGACCAAAACAGAGGACATGGAACACATTGCTGAGAGTGCATTTCTTGTGGCAAAGCTCATTGGCATTGTGGTACCCGATAAAGAAATGTTTGGACTCAACTTCACGCCCCGGTGCTCGACAAGATTGCACAGTTTCAGACGCAGCCTGGTCGCATTGTTGTAGTATGTATGTATGTATGATGCTTGTCGATTCCGTTGCTAGTCCTTTACTGACTTGGGTTTTACTGATCTTGATCTTGATATTGATCTGGTTGTTATATATTGTTAATGTTTGGGTTTGTTTTTACGTCTACTTGGATGTAAAACTATTGTTTTTGTCTTACCGGACTTAATTTGTAGGTTATTAAATTCGATTGGAGATTTATTCAGCAACGAAATTTCTACATCGTTAAAAAAAATAAAAAAGAAAGTATTGATGGTTAAAATTGTTGACACTTGGATTTATCAAAATATCAAATTAAAATTGAATATTTCAAGTCTGGTCCGCATAGCCTCCTAAATGTGGAATTCAAGATTGTTCTGAATTAATAGGAGCCGTCGGATGAGAGTATTGATTAATGAATGAGATTGCGAACAAATGTAGATATGTAATTTGCTTCAAATAATAATTAAGACGATTGTTCCATTGAGGTACGAATTCGCAAAGATTTGACATGTTGGTTTTAGCCAAATCCGAGCCTCTTAATCCTATCATGGTTGCCACATTATTTCATTCAGCGATAGGCTCTTCGTCAAAACAATTTTCTCTAATTTTTGAAATCCTTCCGGAGCCTTAAATTATGGTGGCAAAAGCCTTACCATGGATGGAGCCCTTATTTGATGGGGCTTTGAGGGCTCCCCTTTATTCGTGGGCTTGTCCTTTTTTTTTTTTTGCTTCTACTGTTGTTTGACTTTTGATAGGAGTTCCACGATCTGCTTTGTTTTTAGAATAAGATTTTTTTTTTTTTTATCTGTTTTCTTGTTTGAATAGACTTATTTATTTGCTTCTTTTTTGAAAGAAATTTCTGTTGTTTTTTTTTAAAGAAGCTCGTTAGTCCACTTTCTTTTTGAAAGGGGTTCCTCCATCTACTTTTACGTTAGAAGAGACTTCTTCATCTTCTCTTTTTGGCAAGGGCTCCTTATCCAACTTTTCTTTTGGAAGGAACTCCTCTTTCTGCTTTCTTTTTGGAAGAGGCTCATTAGTCTGCTTCTCTTTTGGAGGCAACTCATTAGTCTGCTTCCCTTTTGGAGGCGATTTCTTGGCCTACTTTATTTTTCGAGGGGCTGATCAGTTTGTGTTTTTTTTAGGTAGCTCCAGTGGCCCTTTCGCTTCTATACGAGCATACATTTTCTTATTTTGAACTCGCCTCTTTTGAGTCATGTTCAATCCCCTATTATCCTTTGGTGGAAGGCTTCGGTTTGTTCGCAATTTATTTTTCATTCTCTTTCACGACAAAAGGCTTCCGTGTTGCTTTGGAAATAATGGTGATCTTCGGCTGTGGTGATAGTCCGACCTATTTTCCATTCTCACTCCTCACCTCTGCGACAATGGCCTTAGGTTTGGGTCCTTTGTATGTTTTCTTCTTTTTCTAAACTTGAGGCTTTCGGACTTAGGACGATGATTCTGACATTAGGCTCTCTCCTGACCTTCTTTTGTCTCCCCTTCGGCATGGTTGAGACTGAGCCTTTACCAAACGTCATCCCCGTGAAGACGGATTTCTTAACGGGTGTCTTTGGTCTTAGGTGGTCGTAAACCGAAGTTCTCGACAGCTGGTTGCCAAGTTTGCCTCTTATAGGCCATTTAGCCGACATAGTATTAACGGTGGGAGTAAACCCTTTCGTCGGCCTCAGGGTCGGACATAATAAATCTTTTTCTTCGCTAATTCCACGGCTAGGGGTGAAAATAGGCCAGACTGTCCTGCAACTTGGCCTGGCCTGGCCCGATCTATTTATTAAAAACGTCACGTTTATATTTTTGTTAAAGTCTTTTTCTTTAAATAGAGTAGCTTAGACTTAAAAAAAAAGTCTCTTTATCAAACAGGTCGGCATGTTTAATAATATTATTGTTATACAAAATATTTTCTCATTATATTATTAATTAAGAATAGTTTTATACTCCCTCCGTCCGCGAAATTAGTCGCGTTTCTTTTTGGCGCGGAGTTTAAGAAAATTTAGTTTGTATAGTTAATTAGTATGATTAGTTAATATAATACATGTAATAAAATATTATTTTAACTATTTTTATTTTTGATGAATTATTGAAATAAAAGTTGAAATATTTTTTATTTTATTTTATTTTATTTAAATTTAATGTTTTATTTATTGAAATTGTTTTATTTTAAAAAAATATCACAGTATTATATTGATTGTAAATTATGCAATTAAATAAAAAAAATTAATTGTAATAATTTAAATACAAAAATAACAGCCTAAATACTAAAATTTTAATATAAACAAAACATCAAATTTTTCAAATTTGATTGTTGGTAGGGATAGATTTATAACTCATATTTTATATATCGTATCAAAATTTTTAGTATGCTATTTTATCGTAATGAGATATTGTACCAACAATTTGGTATACTGAATTTATAGATGAAAAAATACTAAATTACATAAATAACACATACCTAACTAAAAAAAACCGAAAATATCAAATTTCAGTATACTGAACATTTTTTTGTATGGTATCGATATTTTTTTTAATATACCAAAAAATTCGGTGTGGTATACAATATGGAGGTATTATCTGAATACAATATCGAGTCATTTCTAATTGAATTACAAGTATGATATCAGAATATAATATTTTATGCTGAAATATAAAAATTAAAAATAATTTTACAATTTTAAAAATATATTAGAAAATTAATTATTTTAGTATCAATATACTAAATTATTGATATAGACCGATAAATCAAATATTAAAATATCAAATTGTATTGATATTTTCGGTATATATTATACCAACAATGCTAAAAGTATATACAATTGTCGTACTAAAAATGTTCGATACGGTATCATACCGTATAAAAATTTACGACATACAATAATTTTGACACTTTAGTATTTTTTTTTCATATGGTACATGCATTATTTGAACAAATTGATATTTTTCACTCTTAATAATAGTGATAAATGATTTTTTTTTAATGAAATATAAAAATTAAATCTAAATCAAATCTCATTGTTAACTAATATTAAATCATAAAATATCAAATAAAATATTTTTTATATTATGCTAAAAATTAATTAAAAATTTTAGACATCACATAAACACTTATATATATCATATATCATATTTATTAATTTTTATTATTCAAAATTCTAGCCCTACTTTTAAATTTACAATAAAACAATAAAAATTAGGAGTATTAGTAATTGAATAAAATATAGTTAAATTTATAATTGTAATTAGTATTCTAATTATTACTATATTAGAAAATGCAACTAATTTCGCCCAAAACAGAAAAAGTGGACTAATTTCATGGAGGGAGGGAGTATCTAATAATGATATATATATAAATATAATAATAATTTTAAAAAGGTTCTAATTATATATCTATTATTAAAAAAATAATTATATAAACAGTATTTACTATCATTTAAAATTTCAAAATATGGACAGATGCTGCAAGCATATTCCTTTCCCTACAATTTCTTTGTTTTTTTTAACCCTAATTCAAATACTCTCAATCTTCCATCGCATCGTACAGTACAATACACAGATCCGGACATATTCACTTTCTGTTGTTTTCATAACGGCGGCTAATGTCTTGCAACCTTCTTCACCAAGCCCCGCTATTTTTTTTTCCGTCTTTTTTTTTCTTCTTTATTGCTACTGATGGTGGAATTTTGAAAGATCGGTAAGGTAAAAAAAATTTAAATATTTTTTGGTTTTTTTCGTTGTTCTTATTTGGATATGAATTTTGAAATATTTATTTTATATTATTGTGATTTTTTTGTTATATTTTATTTATTTTATAATTTTGTTTTTTTTTATATGCTAATTTTTTCTTTTCTACGTTATTTCTTTTGTTTTTTTATAACATTATTTTTATTATTTTTATTTATTGTGTTATATTTTATTTAAATGGCTTGTGAATAAATTTTATATATATTTTTTTAGAAAAATAATGAACAAATAATGTAAATAAAATACTGAAAGCTATTGAACAAATTTTGATATTTTTGTTTCTAATGTATCTCATTAATTAAATGTGTATTTTTTTATTTTTTATTTTAACAGAAAATGGCTTCGATGGATTAATCAAATATTTTTGGTCATCCAACTATGAATGATACACACAATAGTGTCAAACAAATGAAGATGCCAATAAAAAATAAACGAAAAAAAATAAAAATCAATTGTATGAAATGATTTTGATGAAATTGAAATTGCTAGAGGTGAAAAGAAAGCTATTTGCAAGTATTGTAAAAATGTATTTGCCACCGGAGGAAGATGTGCGAGCACAAGCCATCTAAAGAGACATTCATAAGGGTGTTTGCAAAGGTCAGTACATATGGCTTCACAAAAGAAACAAATTATCATTCCTTTTTTAAGTCATCCAGTACAACTACCAAGATCCGTTAGTAAATCCCGGGTTTAGATTTTTTAATAAAAAGATGAGGGAAGCCATTGCCACGTCTATTATGGTGCATGAGTATCCTTTTAGCATTGTAGAAGACGATGCTTTTATATGGTCCTTCCAGTATGCAAACTCTGAATTTCAAAAAGTTTCTCATATACAAAGTGATTATATAACAATATGAAGCAAAAGCGTTGAAGGAATTATTAAAGAGTGTGAGTAAGATTAGTTTGACAACAAATATGTTGAATACATGGTTATCACTGGCTATGTCATAGATTTTGGGTGGAAATTTTATAAAAGGATTTTAAGCTTTATCAAGGTACTTGCTCCAAGGCGATGAATTGATGTAGCCAATGCTATTTTCAAATGTTTGAAGGTTTGGAGGATCGAAGATAAAGTCTTCTCAGTATCAGTTGACAATGCTTCATATAACGACTCGTGCTTGAGGTATCTAAAAGATTACATTTCACGCAACACTAAACTTGTCCTCGATGGAGCTCTATTTTATATTAGATGTTGCGCACACATATTGAATTTTTTAATGCAAGATGGACTTAGTCAAATCAAAGATGTCATTCATAATGCTCGTGAAAGTATGAAGTATGTAAACTTCAATGATTCAAGATTGAAGACTTTTGGTGAAATCGTTGAACGAAAGCATCTAAAAGAAAGGAAGTTGATAATTGATTGTCTAACAAAGTGGAATTTTACATATCACATGTTACATGTTGCTTTAAAATTCAAGATTGTC